GTTAGCATCATCTCTTAGGGCATGTTTACCAAAGAGGAATGGAATGGTGGGAATCAGAATTGCACATATCCCCAACCATTCCAGCGTTTACCAAACCATTAGGAATCAAAATAATTATGGGACCCGCATAAAATCAGGAATTCAACTCCTCATATAGCCGGAGTCCAATTCTTGAGTGGAAGGAGGTATTTGAATTCCTGGAAATGGTGTCCATCAGGAATCCAAATTTATACCAGTAATACCCTCAAACTTCAAAGTGAGAACGGTATCAATGTTTGCAGCCCTTGCGATCGTGATAGCTGGCCATAGGTGATGCCTTCAAGCCCTTGCTTAACAAGGCTCGCGTTCCCGACGAAGACCAAAGAAAAGGGAAGATGGTGGTCTCACGATCAAGGGTGGGTCGGCAGCAGAGAAAGATGGGGAAGATAGGGGAAGAGAGAGAGAGGTGCTTGGGAAATTTAGAAATGGATGGGTCAACACAGCAGTAGAGAGATGGGGGAGGGAGAAGACATGAAGTGATATTTTTTTTTTGGGTAAATTACATAATACCCCCTTAGGTTTGAAGTCTATTACAACCTCAAACAACATCTTTAAAACATTTCACTTTTATACATCACGTACTATTTTATTTTAAAATAATACCTTCGTTAGATTTTCCATACATTGGTCTGTTAAATGCTGATGTGGCTGCCACATGGCAAATTGTTTTTTTATATATATTAAAAATATTATAATATTAACCTTATTAAAAAAAAAAAAACCAGAAAAACTCGAACCCAGATCCCCTTCCTTCCCCCTCACCTCTTTGCAACTCTTATTTACAAAATCCACCGCTCCGCCCGCGATTCATCCCAATTGAAGCACTTCCATACCTAATTCTACCCACCAACCAACCCATTTACAAATTAGGAGATGAATAGCTAGAGGGATTGGATTTTAGTCATTATTTTACAGTTAAATTGCTTAAACGTCATAATAACAACTATAAAAAGTTTCAATCTTTACGAGAAAAATTACAAAAAAAAAAAAACATATCACATAAATCCGGAAAGATTACTGTAAAAATAGAACCTTTATATGTTCATATGAAATTTAAGCAAAACCAAAAAAAAAAAAAAGTAATGAGATGTAAGGAAATACCTATGAAGGCAGGCCTCATGTGAGGCGGCATTGAGAGACGCACGTGAGAGAGCGAGTTCTCGATCATCAGCCAACTTCTTCAACTCCTGAGTGACCGCAAGATGGAACAGTTGCTGATGATTCTACAAGACGGTGCAGAGGTCTTTTTTGGGTCGGATATGCAAGTCGAGCGGCAAGTTGAAGCTTCTGAACTCGTAATGGCTCGCCTTGGCTCCGGTGACGACGGTCAACGGCCTGAAGAAACGATTGGCGGTCCGCGATTAGATAGCAGGCGGGAAGGAGGCGGTGGTTATGTGGAGCTTGAGGGTTGAGAAGGCGAGACAATGGTCCATCAACAATGGCTAAAATTTAGATTTTGAGAGTGAGAGTTTTTTTTTTGGGAGGAGAGAAGAATATATAGAGAAATTTGGATAGGGTTGTTGCAGTGGTTGAGTCAGGACGATGTAGGTGAAGCGGTTGGGAGGACGGTGTAGGCAAGGCACTAAACCTTAAAAACCACACCCGCATATCAAATTCCACATTTTACAGAGCAGAGAGAGAGGTTGAGGTGGGAACCGCGCTGAGGGGTGCTTGGGTGGATGGGATGGAGGGGTGGAGGGGATGGACGGACGGGAATGAAGAGATGGGTAAAGGGGTGGGGGTGGGGTGGGGGTGGGGGTGAGGGTGGGATGTGGGGTTGCAGGGAATGATTTCTGGGTTTGGGTTTTTCTTTTTTTTTCTTTTTTAAAATAGGGTTAATATTATAATATTTTTAATGTATAAAAATTTATTTTTTTGCCACGTGGTAGCCACATTAGCATAAATGTGGCAACCACGTCAACATTTAACAGACCAATGGATGGAAAATTTAACGGATGTATTATTTTGAAATAAAATAGTACGTGAGGTATGAAAGTTAAATGTTTTACAGATGTTGTATGGGGTTGTAATAGACCTCAAACCTGAGGAGGTATTATGTAATTTACTCTTCTTTTTTTCTTGAGGTTTATTTTATGTTGGTAACTGGTAAGGATCGATGAAAGAATAAAAGTTACTAGAAAAAAAATAGTCATTTTCCCTACTGAAAAATGAAAGAATATTAGTTTTACTAAAAATAATTAGATATAAAATAAATTAGTTACGATAGGGGTATTTTAGTAATCACATTAATTTTCATTCAGATTTATATGAATTAGTAAACAGTTTATATAAATCAATATCATTCATACTCCGATTTCAGCCAATTTTAGTAAACGTTTTTAAAAGGAATTTGATTCTGATTCCACCTCATTCCAATTTCTCCTCAATTCAATTTCTCCTCAATTTAATTCCTCTTAATCTAATTACGGATTAGTAAACAAGCCCTTAAGCTTCTCTTGGAGCTAGACTTCTTGCCCTTGTCGTTCGCAATAATTTCACGCATCGCATCAACTTCGAAGAGCTCGTCTCCATCAACTTGCATTAAGCTACCACCTCAGCTAGGGAGATATCCCTCAAATGGCGCCACATGGGACTCAACAACCTCCTCCACTTGGGTTATTCCTCCATAATGCATAAGGCGCGGCATAATTTCCTCATATCTGGGACAACATCGATCTTTCTCGCAAACATCCATCTGTAGATACAAGCAAGGATGATCAACGACTACACATTATGACTCGCAACAAAGGTGCAAAACAAGAAAATCTAGTAAAGCATAAGGTACAAATATTTACCAATATTAAAATTGCCACAAATTTGCATCATTGCAAGTTCATCAGTTTCTCAGTTCCCACTGATCTCCAACGTGGCATGCCCCCCTGATGGTTGCCCATGCTCAATTCGATGAAGAGCTTGAACTGCTTTCAACTGTGTGTACTTGTCAAACCTGCTAATTTCGAAAAGTAGAAGAATTCTTGGAAAGTCAGCCACAGATCGAAGAACTCGCTCAGATTCAAGAAACTCAACATGTATCTATACGCGTTCAGAGATCACAGAGCAACCACGTATCTCGTCGCGTAAAGCACCTCCTTAACCAATCTCGAACGAAGCGAAAAACACGTTATTTCCGTGGAACAAATTGTAAGCCTTCAACCAAAGTCCCTTGATTTTCTTCACTACCATCTAGAATTTTTGTGAGGCTGGACAACACAAGCACATATCAACTATAATTGGGTTTGGAATCGGAAGCAAGTTTCCAACGAGAATGATGTTTTGATGGCAACGGTGTTTGAACAAACGTGGGAGAGAGAGTTAGTGTTTTTGGAGGAGGACAAGACTTATTAAAGACGGTAAGTGTTGATGTCGAGGGCAATTTAAATCCTAAGAAATTTTGAATTTATGTCGGTTACCATTTCAAGTAAGCGATGTCATGTATGACTCGGTTTCACCGTAATCTCATTATGATGGATTGTTTTCAGCTGCTCAATTTTCATCCAACGATCCACATCCTATCCGCACATAAGGTCCCCGAAGTTTCGTTCGCGCCTTAGAAAACGCGGTAGCTGGATCATATTGACGGGTTGGGCCAGAAATGAAACTGGGCCCGTAGATGGGCCTAACTCGGACCTTTTTATTACATTTACCTGTTTTCTCGTGTTAGAGTGATGACTCATACTAGTTCTTAATTGTTTATTAGGTGTGGGCACCCTATTCTCACCGACAGGTAATGCAATGCAATGCAACGCACCTTCCGGGTCGCCACCATACTCTTGCCGTGGAAATGTCAAAATTACGGACACACGTGGCAGACGCTGCTAGCGTTCCCGAATTTTGCCCGTCCAGTGAGGGTCACGCGGGCCTTATTGTAATTTCATTATTTTTTATGTTTTCGCTCCAAAATGTCCTGCGATAACGTCATCCGGGTGGACCCCTCCACCCTCTCATCCCGTTGCCGTCACTTAGGCCATCTCCAACCGATGGCTGGCCAGAGGGCTCGTTTTAGCCCTCTGGCCCTCCAAGATTCTCCAAGATATTAATATTTTAATGAACAGTACAGGGCCATATTTGTCTCCGTCTCCAACCGAGGGCCAGAGGGCCAGAGGGCTCGTTTTAGCCCTGTAAAAAAAAACCGTCTCCAACCGAGGGCCAAAGGGCCATAGGGTCAAACATAATTTATTATTTAAAAACTACAACTTAATTTTATTTAAAAATCATGTTGGTTAGTGTTGTATAATTTTTATGTCGGTTAATGTTATTTAATGTTGTTTCATATTGTTTAATGTTGTTTCATGTTACTTAATTTAATTTAATGTTGTATAATGGCTTAGGAAGTTATAGGAAAAAAATAGAATTTAAAAAAAATATGAAACAAATTTTGTGAAATAGAAGTTATAGGAAAAAATGGAATTTAAAAAAAAAATATGAAACAAATTTTGTAAAATAGAAGTTATAGGAAGTTATAGAAAAAAAAAGAAAAAAAAAAGGTTTAAATTCATAAAAAAAAAAAAAGGATTTACAACGGCTAGTGGCGCTAGCCGTTGGAAGTTTGAATTCAAAATGTTATTTCTGTCGGTTGTAACCGACAAAAATAATATATATTATATTATTTCTGTCGGTTATAACCGACAGAAATAAGAAACATTAAAAAAAAAATAGCCAGCCCTCCAGCCCTCTCCGATCCCGTGGGGCCCTCCCAGATTCCCGAGCCCTCTGGCCTAGCCTTCGGTTGGAGACGGTTTTAGGGCTATTTTCGGCCCTCTGGCCATCTGGACCCTTCGGTTGGAGATGGCCTTAACAACCTACAACCGGATCAAACCGGTTCCAGTCTCTCGATTCTCCGGTTCTTCCAGACAAGAGCCTTCCTACCCAAAACCGGTCTAGAGAGAGTTCCAGGTTGAGATAATCCACGTGTTGGTTAATTAAACTCTTAGAGCAATGAGGTGGGCCGCGCGGTGGGTGACGAAATCATAGCCTTGAAGTGGAAATAAAATAGGAGTGCTCTTCCAGTACAGTTATATACACAGTGAGATTACATGGAATTGCAGAGAAATTGTGAGATTCCGAGGCCCAAAATCTAGGGTTTTTTCGGGATTGGCTTTTCTCTCAGCAAGTAAGTCTGGTAAGATTTATCGATAATTTTAAAATTGGGATTTCGAATTTTTGATCTTTCGATTATTAAATTGGAATTTATTTGTGTGGTTGATTTCTAGGGTTTGTGAGAATTGGGGGTTTTGATTTGGTTATGTTTTATTGCATGCAATTGTGATTTCGGTATGTTTAGGGTTTCTGGAATTCTAGATTGTTTCTGGGGTCGGGGAATTTTGATTGTGGTCTGTTTGGTTCCCGAGAAAAAAAGAGGAAATTTTTGGTTCGTAACTGTTAAGTCTTTGTTAATTGTATGTCCAGAATACTTCACCCAATTGAGTTTCATGATTGATACTGTATCTGGAGTATCATTTTTTAAAACGGGGAATGTATTCTTCAGTATTGAATTTCTATAATAACTTAAGTAAATGGTGATTATTTAGAAGTTAATTATGAGTTAATATTTTGGAGATCAGGTAATTAGAAGGAATAATTTGGTTGAGCGTAATGCAATTGTTCTGCTTAATTTATGGGAAACAATTAATGTAAAGCATAGAACTTTCAATGTTTTTTGGTTTTGTTTTTGAATTGCTAGATATTTATGGAGTGAGAAGAGAAAGTGGATTTTAATGTTTTCTTTTGTTTTCTTTTAGCCAAGAGGCGTGCACGTTTTGGCCTTGAAGATCACATATTAACTGAATTCTCAAGAAAGTGGTGGTCAATTTGTTGGTACCTTATTTTTATTCATCACCCCTTATGCTTTTGTTTGTGGCTGCATGTTTTGATTCTCTTTTTGTACTTCGTTATATGTAGAACTAAGATTTGGTCTCCATCTAAGGAAATTTGAGGCATGCAGCCAAAATCTGAAGCTGAAAATCGACTACATGCTCATACTGTCCCACCAAGCAGTGTTTATTCGGAACCATGGTGGCAGAGTGTTGGATATAATCCCATCTCCCCAACTGGAACCGGGAGGAATGTATCCAACACATCTTCGTTAGAATGCCCAAATGGTCTGTCAGAGTCTAATGATGATCAATCTTTGTCCAATGATGAGGCAAATGAAGATGATGATGATACTGCCAAAGATTCACATACTACATCTCCAAGATCAGATAGCACTTCCTATTATATCTGGGAATTTGGTATGATGCTTCCCCCCGCTCCTAGTTGGATTCAGTTTTTAATATTTTGTTTCAACTTCAGCTGGAAATTATGGGCAAGACCACCACAATGTAAAGCATGCTGGATCCAGTGTACCTACAGTGCGTGATGATTGCCTTGCGCAACCACCACAGCTTGAACTTGTTGGTCACTCTATTGTAAGTTCATATTATTTTCTTAAAGATTTATTGCCTCAGAACTAGTCCGACTCTGCTGATAATCATAAAAAATTGGATTCTGGAATGTTGAAGTTCAGGTACTCGTACTTGCATGTTTTTGGAATGTAAGTGTCCTAGCTTTTATGCATTTGTTTGTAGGCGTGTGCTTCAAATCCTTATCAGGATCCTTGTTATGGTGGAATGATGGCAGCTTATGGATATCCACCTTTGGTATGTTAAACAGTAATATCCTTGTTTGAGGTACCATCTTACATGTCATGTTGGATTTGCGTGTTTTTATTTTCCGTGCAACGATGAAATGGTTCAATAACTTCAGTTTCTGCAAATGTTATACTTACCTTACTGACTCCAACAGTCTGTATTTCTAAATGTATTTAAGCATTTACTGACAGTTCATTTTCTTCAGTTATTTTTCAATTCTATGACATGATTTTTTTTTTTTTTCTGATCTGACTGGTTTATTAAAGATTTTTCTGTTTTTTCTTTATTGTTTTGCAGTCATATTCTTCTTAATGTTTTTCTCCATACTATTTGGTGGCTTATGTGCATCCTCAGAGTAGTTTGAGTTGTCCACTTTTGCGTATGTCCTATAATGGGTTAGCTAGGAATTGGTGGAATGTTAAAAGATTACAGAATTTCAACAAATTTGGATGGGGAGGAGCAATGGAGATAATGAAATAATCTTATTGATCGAGTCTATGGAGAGAAAATCCCAAGACTAATCACAAATCCTACAATAGAACTTTTTTATTTAAAGAAAACTACCTATGATAATGCTAGAATCCATAAAATTATAAAATATACAAGTTTTAAAAAGTCAATCTAAGAGTTCATGTTGACTGTTGTTAACAATCAATTTATTTTGGATCTTGGGAGTTTTGAATATTTTTGTCTTCTTAGAGTTTCTTACCATTGAGTCAGACTGTGTTTCTAGAAGTCTGGGAATTCGGTTTGAAGACTACCAAGAAGGCTATCTTCTGTAAAGTAAATCAGAGCAAATCAGATATTGGGTAGTAAAAAATTTCTTTTGATTTTTTAGAAGTATTGAATGTCTTAGTTTTCTTACGAGTCTCCTTCCTCGTAATTAGACCAAGTATGTCTACGAGTCTGAAGACTATAAAGAAAGCTGTCTTCTGTGATGCAAATTAGTTTTGGATTCACAAAAGTGTTGTTGAAGGGCTTGGTGCCTTGATATGTCCTCGTGCATTTTATCTTGTGTCATCTCATCTGTGTTATTCTATATAACCTAATGTAAATCCCTCCTACGTACCTTTGTAATGATCATGGAGTGCATTTCTATTGCGTCCTATCAACATTTTGTGATCTATTCCTTACTAACTTGACATCAAACCCTTGGAATTCGGAAGTCCCTCACCCAAACTTAGCCTAAATTTACAGCAGTCCTAAATCTTTTGTTTTTTCCTGATTTTCTTTTATGTCTAAATCTTTTGCCAACTAAAGCCTACCAAAATCTTGGTTAGAAGCCCACTTTGTGTTGTCTTGCATCACGGTGGTAGCGGCGAAAAACAGATTAGTTATAACATTGAACCTGTTCAACTTACGTTTCTTGGGTATGATATCGATTTAATCTTGGTGCATTTGGAAGTTTATGATGAAGTAAATCTTGATATGTAAATGTATGAGACTGTTAAATGCTGTTTCGACTGGTCAGGGTTATCCTCCTTTTCTTGGAATGCCGCATGCTAGAATGCCATTGCCTCTTGAGATGGCACAGGAGCCTGTGTATGTAAATGCAAAACAATACCAAGGTATTCTCAGGCGAAGACAGGCACGTGCAAAAGCAGAACTTGAAAGGAAGCTAATAAAAGTCAGGAAGGTAGAACCCATACACAAGTATTTGTACTATAAATATGTTATATTTCATATAGATGTAATGTGTATATGCTTCATGTGCCTGTGAACCGTATCTCTCACTTTTCGTAAGACATTTATTGGGCCTGTTCTCTTTGGTTATAGAAAATATTGACTTTTACATAATCACAATTCAATTGAAGCTTTGTGATTGTATGAAAAGAGCATTGAGAATTGTCTGAGTGCTCACTTTTGTGTATAACACTAAAGCTTACATAGTTGTATAATGTGTGGTCTTTGGTATACCTCCTTAAGAGGAACAACGTATATGACTTGTGCACTTTCCAGTCTCTATTGCATCCATGAACTTATTCGGCTGTCTACTCTGTTTCTTTCCATCAAAAGATTTGCATGCTCCTTAAAGTTTATGCATTGGTGTCATTGTAATTGAGTTTTTAATAAGGTAAATTAGATAAATATGCCTACCTGAACATGGCTATGCAATGTCCGTGAAGTATGCGTAGAGGGATGCATTGTCACCTGCACTCTGCCAATGGAAGTATGTGCTTGCTTAGGAATTAGGATATACATTTATGGTTTGACATGTGAAGTACATGTCGTTACTATGAACCTTTCAATTGCTGTGTTACCCATATTTGGTATCAGTTTGGTAAAAGTCTGTTTGTCTAGTCGATAGCGTGAGATTAATGTGTAATTGTAGGTTGCTTATTGTAAGAGTCCGAGGATATATGTGGCCGTATGATGATAATTTTATTTCAGCCGATGTGTTCCAACTCAAATTGTTAGTATTTGTGTTTCTATGTAATATGAATAGCTTGCAAGCATATAAACTTTGGTAAATTGTTCTTTAATTTCATTTTCTACAGCCGTATCTTCATGAATCACGACATCAACATGCTATGAGAAGGGCGAGAGGTACTGGAGGACGTTTTGCAAAGAAAGCTAATGGTGATACTTCAAACAGCACTGGACAAGAAAAGGGTACAAGTTCTGGTCCAGCCCACTCATCACAATCTGGCAGTTCATCGGGTTCAGAACCCTTTCCGTCAGATTCTGCCGAAACATGGAATTCCCCCAATAGTCAACGGGAAGCAAGAGGTTCCCAAGCGCACAATGCGTATGCGGCTCACAATTATGCAAATGGTAGTGGCTGCTGCCAGCCCCATGGTGGCTTGCAGGCTTCAATATATCCTTCATACTCGGGCAAGAGAGGGGAAGAAGGAGATTGTACAGGCCAGCAACGGGGAAGCATATCTTCGAACCAGGCCTCACAGAGGCGTCTTGCCATCCAGTGAACCGCTGGAGGCAGATGCTGTGGACTCTACCAGAAACGGGGCGAGTCCCCCTTGGATCTCTTTGGCAATGTGTTTGCCAGGCGGCAATTCATTCTTGGCTGTGTTCTTGCGCTCGAGGCATAAACGTAGGGAAGGAGAGATATTGAAGGATCATTTGGCGTTGGTGAAGTCCTTATGACTCTTTCATTACGTCCTTTCCTACTTCTGCCTAATGTACAGAGTAGTTTCAGTAATTCTAAGTACATACGAAAGACGGAAAGACGGAAAGATGGAAATTTAAACGAGTCGTACTCTTGTTTAATGCATCAACCATCTTGTGTATTGTGTTTGTCACCTTCATTTTGAGATGTGCGGTTGGAAAGAGATTGGAATTTCAGTTGTTTTTCGGTTGTCGTCGATAACTGCTTGTTCTGTATGCTTATGGCTGCCGGTGATTTTGAGTATTATTCCCCTGCGTGATAATCCTATTCGGATCCATCTATCCGTTTCATAGGATGTGATTTGCAGATTCTCCAAACTGCAAAGACGTCTCATCTTTTAGAAATTGAACTTTCCTTGGCAGGTGTTTTGGAACTCTTTCAAGTTTTAAGAGCGATATGCGGGTCGAATCATGGTATCGTTATGAACCCGTTTGGTAATTATTTCGTTTTTGTGCTACAATTCGGGAAAAGTGTGTTGGAAATCAGACAACGAAAACTAAAAATTAAAAATCTAAAGCAATTTTCAGCTTGCTTTCACTTTCAATTTGTTGTTTTATGTTCATATAAAATACCAGTTCCGTACTTTACGCTGCATTATGTAGTTGTCCCACCAAAGCACGCACGAAAAAGGGAACCCTAAAAACGCAAATACAAAACGGTCATCTGCTTAGCAACAAATAATATTGTGAAAAGCCTAGTAATATTTGTGTATTAGCCAGAGTCATAACCCGATAATTACAATCCAAGTAGTCATGTAGGAGCACACTACTACACCTTACAAAAATTTTCACAGATTCTTAATCCAAGAACAATTCTGTAACTAATTGCTTTATTGTCTGATACACGGTTTTACACTCGAATTTAAAGGGAAAGGGCAACGAGAAGGCGGCGTGTTCTTTCGGGTATTGCAAAGTTTATATGTCGTCGTGTTTTTTTCCATCACTGTTGTCTAGGTTTTCTTCACTACTATCTAGGTTTTCGTCATTGTTCTCTAGATTTTCACTTACTTCTGCATCGTACTGCACTGTCAAAGTTTCTGCATCGATGCCGTCAGGTGGTGTCACCTCTTCCTCGGTTGCATTGCTAGGCTCTGTCGCGTTCACCACAGTTTGCTGCTTCTCCATCATCCCAGAAAGTGCCAATCTTGGAGACCACTCGATAACATCATCGATAATGTTAGATACACGTTTCTGGTACCTGCAACAATGTAGAGTTAACCATTAGTATGATACGCAACACCAAGCAGCAGAAAATAGAATCAGCATGTTTGCAGGCTGAGGATCCATGATTGCGTATTTAGGGTCCCAACAAAAGATTAAATATAAAGAAAATGGTCTTCAAATTATTGTGGATCTGAATGTTTTTAAATTTCGTCATGTTTAGCCACAATTCGTCCCCCTCCCCTCCATTACAGTTTATTTGGTTGGTTTAGAACTCACCTGGCTCTGGCAGCTTCATCAGGAGCATGGTGCCTCAGCAGCAATATGACCAGCACTGCAACTGCCGCATAGAAAACCCTTGTTGTCCACTTTGGTCGCTCCTCCTCATCCTTCTTGGGCCAGAAACGGAATAGTTCTCTCAAAGTAGCTTCCTCGGCGAGAATGTTCGGGAAAAACCAAACTCGCTTTCCCAAAACAATATATAGAACTCCAAACATTGTTCCCCTCACTGGAAATTAAAAAAACACAACAAAATTAAATGTTTATGTTCGACATGAAAGAGAACAGATCACTAAAAGCAACGATCATTTGCATTATTAACCCTTCAACCCAAATCAAGGAACTAAAACGCCGCAGAAACAGAAAAGATGAAGCTTAAAGTCAGCTAAAAAATCTAGATACAAATTGGTGAGGATTGTAGATGCCCATATAAGGTATTCTAGAAAGATGATACCCCATTCAAAGAATGAAAGTGTTAAGACAGAAATTTGTAAGATCTTTACGCCAAGATGATGCCAAATCCTTATAGTAAAAACAAATGTAAAGGTGGCTGTGTTTGCATGCATATGTTTACAAAGAATGAGATATAAACCTAGAATCTACAGATTCGCATCGTAATCAATTACGTTTGTATACCGAGACATACTTCAGAGACTAAAAACAAATGAAAGAACCTGTTGATTTACAAAAAGGTTTAAGTCTAATAGTATTTAGCATAGAACATCAAGAATCATAAGGTGCATGATTCTTGAAAGGCAAAATGGCATAAGAAAATTAGTCCCAACATTTAGCAAAGGTAAAAAAGGAAGAAAAAATGTGTCGAGGAATCCTAAAAACTTTACAAACTAGTAAAAGTCTGCCTCTTGTTGACAACCAACGACAAAAGTTTCTGCCATCATTGAAAGTAACATTTACTTGTGAAAGATGATAGTCCCTCGTACAATAATGTGATACTCGTAATAGGCAAGGAACGCTAATCAAAAGCTGAAAAGGACTACAGGCAGCGTAGTGCTTAATGTAGATGTGGCATACCCTATTTAATTAGAACCCCCATCTTAATGCGCTCTGCTAGACATGGGCTAATAGGTGGGCCTTGAAATAACTAGCTATGTCTCTGTCCATCTCATCAAAGTTGTGTACTTTCCATGTGCCCCATTTATGCTGCAGACCTAGTAAAATCTACTAGCTTCAAGATTTGATATCTTGATTTAAAGGAATCACACTTCAAATGCTTGTGTAGTCATCCTCACAAGATTAAGGAATGGAATGCACAGGTATAAAAGTATAAAGCGAGAAAGTATATAACCTAACTAAATCTAGGTATTCTATAAACATATAAGCATAGTTGTACTAGCATGTCACTGACTCTATACAGCCTGATATATCTATAAATATATATATATATATGTATGTATATATGTATATATGTATATATGTATATATGTATATATATATTTATATATGTCAATTGCAAGGCATATTGCTGTCCACCATATCCACCACATCACTAATGTGCAAAATTGTTGCTATATCCAGCACAGCAGTACAACAACAACAACAAAACCTTTTCCCACTAAGTGGGGTCAACTATATGAATCCTAGAACGCCATTGTGCTCGGTAAGTGTTGTTACTATATCCAGCACAGCAGTAAGTGTAATAAAATAGTGACCATTTTGAATAGGGGTGGTATGAACATAATTTATACTCTAATATCCACATCACTATAAACCAATAAGACTTAAGAAAATGTAAAGTTCCTAATGATATTTTAAACTAAAAACAAATGACCAGAAGTTCAGAACTTACAAACTAGTAGAGAAAAAAAAAGTAGCAGGACCCCGAGACATGAGTAGAGTATTAGTAACTTGCACCGATGCGGATATACAGGAAACAAGCATATTGCCAATGTAACCACCGGCCAGAAAAATGAAAGAAGTGTCTGCCAGAGAGGCCTTCGTTTTACAAAAGTCCATGCAAAGAAGGCATCATTCTCAGAAAATACTTGGTCCTGCAAATAACAATAAACCATTTACCAGATGTGGTGTGTGGTGGTTAGAAAATACATGAAGAGAAGAAAGCACACAGAAAGACAAGATTTAAACATAAGTAAACCTACTAAAGGGACATTTCAAAACACTTTCGAGTAAGTTCACCCATTTCCTCCATAGTTTTCAATGTTCTATAAATATAAAATCAAAATATTGTAATCTAAAGTAAAAAGTACAAAAGGGTATGATAAAATCACCACATGTAAACAGTACACAAGTACAAATTAAACATAAAAAGCGTAGTATGATCATAAAGAGTAGGAGTACATAGGCAATGCAGATATACTGAAACAGAAAAGCCGGATTTAGTCACCTTAAGTGGTTCCTAAGATGAAACGAAAAAACTAAAAGGCAGAGCCTGCAACTGCAAGGGCAGCAAGCTACTTGTACAAGAACAATTAAGAGGTTAGCTTACCGGAAAGATCTCCAAATGTGCAGGCCATGTAGACAACTTTCTCTTCCCAGGACGAAGAGTTTTCACCACACGATCACAGCGCACCAAAAGATTCTTTCTCAGTAAAGCATCGGCAATATCTTCAGCTTCTAGATTTCTATCTGATTCTAGAATATCTTTAACATCAGGATGATTTCTCAAAAAGCTTACAAAATCCTTTCCCCTGAAATATTCCACACGTGTCTCCTGTAGAACAGCCCACCTAGACACCAAATCCTTATTGTCTCTCACCTTCTCGGCAAACAACTGGAACGCATCTTTCTGGGTAGCTTGTTTCTGAATGGAAATCACGAGGCAATCAGCACACAATGAAAATATTGGCAAGCTATAGCAACAGAAACCAGTTGGCCAAAACCTATCTTTCCTTGAAAAAATAATTCCAAAACAAAATTGGACAAAAATAATAAACAAGCTGAGGAGCTATATCCAAAAGAAACAATAACTTTCTTGTCACTGATTACTAATTATCTAAGGTTGAGATAATCAAGTGATAAAGAGAAGGACATTATAAGCAGTCGTGCACACTAACAAATTAAATTCATTCTAAGTATCACCATGTAGGCAACACAATCTAATTCTACAATGCAGAATATTCCAAAATCTCAATATCTGAGCTATGTATGGATTTGTTTTGGAATTCGTCTGAGGCTGCCAACTCCGGAATTGAAGTTTGCATGCTATAGAGAAGACTAAAATCATGCAAGAAAACTTAAATTCACAACAGCACATAATAGAAACACAAAGTTATCATCTGGTTGAAGGAATTCAGTACTATCACAGATTCAGTCTCCAGTATTTACAGTATCAGAGAAAATATAAGGAATCCCAACGTCCACAAATTTGCTATCCTCCACTTACAATGCAATCCAATGATAAGACACATAGTCCACATTCAAAAAATTTCATGTTGGATGGAAAAAAAACAAGGATACTACACTCAGGAGATATTGACTACAAATGGAGGTCCACTGTAAATTGCTTAGGGCTCGTTTGATAACCATTTGGTTTTTGGTTTTCACTTTTTGTGCTTGGGATATGGAGTAAGTAAATGGTGGAAAGGAAAGACGAAAAAGAGTGGAGAAATGACTGATGGAGAGACCTAGAAGGAATCCATAAGGAAGGGTACACAAAAGAAAACTCAAAACAAAAGACTATTTCAAAAATATTTCAAGTAGCTTTTAGTTTAAAGGTTTTGTTGTTATTCATTCTTCTTTGTTTTTTACCCTCCCTCCCACCGTTCTTCTTAATCCCTCCTTTATACTTTTCC